ACTTCCTCGAACATATTGTACTAAAACAAATAACACACGATTGATGTAAATTTTTAAACACAAATTTGCGTAAACTACTGTATTGATTCTACTGGACTTAATAGAAATTTTTTGTACAAAGTTCTCAAACTTTTCGTCTTTCAAATTCAAACGACGGTGAATAAGAGGAGATTTCCATTTTGCTTTCTTCAAAGTTCAAATCCGTTGTGTGACTAATCTATTTGCATAACGAAATGGCCTTTTGGAGATTCAAAAAGGCTTTCTCATACCGTACAAATCCCATAAACCAAAATTCAAAATTGTCTTCAGTCACTATTTCTATGTACTTCTGTGTTGGATTGTTCGCATTCTCACTTTGTTTAGCTCCTTTTATCTTCTTCACAGGAATAGAAACCTGCAGCAATGAGAATTATTATTCAACACATGATAAATTCATGATTCGGATGGTCAATAATGGAGTTTAAGTAGATCCAGTAACGAAATCCTTGAAAAGTTCATTCTGTAAATGACACTCGACTAGATAACAATTGAATCTTGATGTTATTTACCTTGTAAAGAGTTCTGATAAGGGCTCCAGAACAGGATTGGACAGTAATGGATCTTTCACTGCAGAATGCAACCTTTTCTGTAGAGATAAACAGAATCCCAGCAATTGGCCCGGCTGAGGTTGATAAATAGCACTGAGATGCCTTCAATAGCTTCTCTCCATTCATGACACCAAAAATGTCCTTGAAAATGTTTTCTCTACCACCTTTCTTGATTATTTTGGCCCCAACACTCAACTTCCCCTTCACTGTTTCAGAAAATTTAGGCCCCAGCCTCACTGCAAATTCACAGACCATGTACAAAAGAAATACTCATTTTAAAACACAACAGAATTCAGCATCCACAAATAAGACCATGCACTGCACTATATGAAGCTTTTTTCCCTTTCAAAAATGTTATATTAGAATGTCATTCTACCCAAGCTTGAGAACACCAATCTTGAAATCTGTGTGTTCGTTTGAGTCTTAAGCAATCAAATTGCTAGTTGGATCTTAAAACGCTTTGTGGGGTTCCCTTAACAGATACTTTGCGCGATTAAAGATAACCGAAAGCTCTTTCAATCTAAACATGATTTTCTTAACAATGGACATCTTCGTTTTTCTTCTTCAACTAGAATTATTGAAGTCCTCGTTTATAATGCTCTCTCTCTCTCTCTCCAAAGTAGTCTATTTCTTGCAAAAATTTTCGGTGGTTTAAGCTAAATTATCAGATAAAACTTACCGTGCTCGCGAATTCTGTAGGCAAAGCTATTGGCCTTCCTTTCTAACTTCTTCTTGTGATTTCTCACTTTCGCAGTCTCTTCCTCCTTATCTGCAATTCAAAGAAACTTCGGTTATTCTTCCGAGCTCCATATATACCCTCAATGAAAGAGATTAGTCGATATGAAATTAATATATACTTGATCTAAAGTGATTAGAGTCCTCAGAATAGGAAGGACTTTGGAGGGACTGATCAGACAATGAAGAATCCCTTTCTGGAGTAGTGTTTTCAAATGAACTGCTCATTAAAGGGCTTACAGAAAAACGATGTTCAAATTGATTATCCTTGTTCATTTTTAAGTACGAGATCGCTTCACAATCACACCTCTCGCCTTGCCTATCGAAGTTCTATTCAAAAACCTCGTCCAAGAAGATCCTTAATTGGCATTGCAGGAAGAAGAAAAGAAGAGAAAATGTAATGAATCTCTCTGTCTGCTCTGCTACCTAATTGCACTGAAATGACCTGTCATCATCTTTGCCCCCACAAATGACACGCTTGTTTGAATTAAAGTTTGATGTAAAATATGCAGCTCAGCTTGACTTGGAATCACATGCATTCATATTCAACCAAAGACTACAGTGTAATTTTGCAGAGATTCTAGTGACAGTGCAATTATTCGGTCATTTCTTGGAAATTTGTAAAGTCAAGATAGGCTTGCTTTTTGTGGGGTAAGAGAGAAAGAAATTCTGAATATGCATCTCTATCCATTCGTTAAGGTCTTTATTAATTAATGTGGAAAATTTGATCTAAAGGGAAAGTAGCAGTTTACCTATCTAATCGTTCACCGTTCACCTATTAAAATAAAGAAAAAAAAATATTTAGTACATGACAAAGGAAAAGGACAAGGTGGCATAACCTAACCTGATTCATCTTCAATTGATTGGTAACTGGAAAAGTATGAGTATAATAAATAAGAATTCAATCTGGTTTCCAGAAGCTGTGTTTGTTTGATATTTGAATGATAGAGCACGAGGATGACCACCCATAAATTAAACAAATGACTCAAAGTCTTTGACAAAATCTCACATCAACTACACATATCGTTAATAATAGGTTATAGGGAAGAGCCTTGCTACACGGCTACGGTCACGTAGGTCTTGTCCATCCAAGGCGTGCACGTGGCACCCCCTACTGGTTGGGTGTCTGTGGGCTTGCTTAGAAACATGCTATAAGGAAATTGGGTTGCTCTTTCCGATGGAATACCTTTTCGAGTCTAAACCCCAAGTCGTGACAATATATATAAAAGGATTTAATAAATTGCAGGTCACTAAATTTTCAGTGAAATTGTATTATTCGGGTACTCAACTTTAATTTGCTTAAAAACCTGATTATGTAATCCATTATCGTCAGTCCAATTAACATAATTTGTTGATGACAGTGGATTGAGTGGCCAAGCAAATCAAAATTGAATAGCTTGTTTGTACAAAATTAAAGATAAGGAACTTCGATGCAAATTCACTGAAATTGAGTTGCCATGTAAGCATTTAATCCTATAATAGATAAATACATTTCTACATTTAACTTTATTGGGGGCCGTTTGGTACGATTTCGACTTTTACTTATTCTAAAAGGTTGCCTTCCTTTAAAAACTCTTTTAATCATAAAATGCACTTTCATAAAAATCATATAAACATATTCAAAAATAAATTTTTAGTCTCGGAAGCTTTTCAAAAGCCCTGGGAAATGGCCCCGAAACCTTTGAGATCCAAACTCTACTTCAAGATGCTCTATTTTTTTTTCCCTTGATATATCATGCTACTCGAGTCCAAGTTCACACTATCGTATGAATATCCTAGGGCTGCACTTGACCAAAATTTGCTTTTGCTTGAGCTCGTTTGGGGATCTAGAACCCGACTCAAGACTACATACAGTTACATCTCGTTTCTTTCCAACTTCATCGATAGACAGGGGTCATGAACTTTCGCCGCCCTTGTATATTTTGATAACCGAATCATGGTAGATTAACTGGAGGAATCGAATACATGTAATAAAATCTTTTTGATGTCACATTTTCACGTTCGAACTCGATATTCGTGGTGATATTTTTGAACCTGGTCATATAATGAACAGAACGGATTAGACTTCAACTATCCTAAAGCAAAAAATGTCCGACATGGTTCAGTCACTTCCCACCGTATCTGTATCACCACTCCATAAGGTTCTCCCCCCCAATTCCAACGCTATAACTTGGGCCCCCGCAATTTCAAATACACCAAGAGTTCCTGAATTTAACTCCAGATTTGAGCTCAACCAAGTGCTTGCCTATGTCGTTAAAACTGGTACTGCATTCTCCGTCCTCCCGCTTTCCCATGTAGCTTCTCTTTGTGCTTTAACTCCTAGCTTCTCGGATGCCCAGAAAATCTTTATGCGTGTTCGTCAACCTGAAATTTTTCTTTGGAATTCTTGCTTAAGAGATTTTGCTGAGAGCGATTCTCCATTTAATGCCATTTTGTTGTTTCACCAACTGAGACTACACAATGTCTTTCCTGATAGCTTTACTTGCTCTTTTGTTCTCAAGGCGTGTCTGCAAAATTTGGATGTTTTTCATGGAAGAATTATTCACGCTTATATAGAGAAACTTGGGCTTCAATCTAATTTATTTTTGCAAAACATGCTTGTGCTTTTATATGCATCTTGTGGGGACATAAATGATGCCAGGCAGTTGTTCGATAAAATGCTGCAACGAGATGTAGTGACTTGGAATATAATGATCACCCAGCTAGTGAAGAGGGGTGATGTTGAATCGGCTTATGAATTGTTTTCGCAAATGCCTGAGAGGAATGTGAGGTCGTGGACTGCTATGATTGCAGGTTTTGTCCAATATGGGAAGCCTAAGGAGGCTATTAATCGCTATGCAGAGATGGAAGAGATGGGCTTAAGGCCTAATGAGGCAACCGTGGTGACCGTTCTAGCAGCTTGTGCTGATCTAGGCAGACTTGATCTTGGGAGAAAGATTCATGAGTTCTCAGAGAAGAGCGGGTTCAAGAGAAATATTCGAATTTGTAATACGCTGATTGATATGTATATCAAATGTGGATGTTTAAAAGATGCTCATGATGTTTTTGAGGATATGAAGGTAAGGACAATTGTTTCATGGTCAGCCATGATTCAAGGGCTGGCAATTCATGGACAAGCTGAGGAAGCTTTGGAACTATTCTCCAAGATGATTCAGACAGGGTTGAAGCCAAACAGGGTCACCTTCATTGGACTCTTGCATGCTTGCAGCCACATGGGACTGATAGATGAGGGCCGAAGATTTTTTACTAGCATGACTACGGATTATGGACTTATTCCCAGTATCGAACACTATGGTTGCATGGTTGATCTATTAAGCCGTGCTGGGCTCCTGCAAGAAGCCTATGAGTTCATAAAAGATATGCCAATGAAACCAAATGCAGTAGTCTGGGGCACCCTTCTTGGTGGGTGCAAGGTCCACAAGAATATTGAAATGGCCGAAGAAGCAATCAGACACTTGCATGAATTGGATCCACTCAATGATGGATATTATGTGCTTTTATCAAACATATACGCAGATGCAAAGCGATGGGAAGATGCGGCAAGGGTGAGGAAGTTGATGAAAGATAGACAGGTGAAGAAGACACCCGGGTGGAGTTCAATTGTCGTAAAAGGTGTGGTTCATGAATTTGTAGCCGGAGATGAGACCCATCCTCAGGCTGAGGAGGTTTTTAAGAAATGGTGCAAGCTACTCGAATGCATGAGGTTGAAAGGATACGTGGCAAATACCTCTGTGGTTCTATTAGACATGGAAGAGAGTGAGAAGGAAAGGTTTTTGTATCGCCACAGCGAGAAATTAGCTGTGGTTTTCGGGCTTCTCAGTACCCCACCTGGAGAAACAATTCGGATTTTCAAAAATCTTCGAGTTTGTGAAGACTGTCATGCTGCTTTAAAGTTGATTTCTGAGATTGTTAATCGAGAACTAGTGGTTCGCGATAGGAACAGGTTTCATTGTTTTAAAGATGGTTCTTGTTCTTGCAAGGATTATTGGTAGTTAATGTGGAGTAGGAGGTAAAAATAAAATAAGGTCTTTCTTCATATTCTTCCCAGATCCCAACCTGCTCTTCGCCAGCTGAGGAAAGGAGCATTGGAAGCTTACCTTAGTGTGGGAATGCTTGCTTGTAAACTCCCAATTTAAATGCTAAGAGCATTTTTAAGAGACTATATTTTTCTAAAGAGCACGTTATATTATTTGGAGAGCATTTATAAATCAATAAAGCTATTTGTATATTTGGAGTGTTAATTTATAAATCAATAAAGCTATTTGTACATTCGAAGTTGACACCTCGAATGACACTCCTCTCACAAGCGAGGGGGGTCCACACTTAATAAGATAATTGTGGGGCCCCCTCTTGTGAGGGGAGTGTCATACAAATAGCAAAGTCCTTTATAAATTTAGCGAGTTAAAATTTTGAAGAATTCCAACAAGCTTTTTATATTAAATACTTGATTTTATTACTCCAAAAAAATATTTATCATTTTTCTCAATATTTTATTTTAACTATCTGGTCTCTATATTATTTTTCTACATTGAAAATTGAATCACTTTGAATGCATTTAATTATAGAGAATAATTTGGAGAGTCAAATTCACTCTCTAACTTAAAATGCTAATTTAAAGAATTTTTTGAAGTATAATTTTAAGGGTTAACTCTTTAAAATAGAATATTTCATATTTAAAGAGTGTTTTGGAGATATACAAGGTGCCTCATTGTGATCATAGAATTGATAACATCTTGCCGCAATTGAATTTGCTCTTTGGAATAGGAAGTCAAGATTAATGCTGACAATAAACTACGTACTTCTCAACACTAAAACTTCATTAAAATTTTAACAACTTTTTAACTAGTTAAATTAAAGTTTTAAGCACATATTTAATGAAAATCACAATTTTTATTAACTTTTGAATTATATATTTCATAAATTTTATCTAAATTTGCTAAATTTTTTAGCGAGGACTCTATCAAACATTCATTAGGATAGTATCTCCAAGTTATAATTTCACTCATAAATTAAAAAAATAGCTCGACTACATGTTTGATCACCTTTAGCCCAAAAAGTTCTAGGTGATTGGCCAACAAATTCAACATTTGGTCAAACAATAATAAGGCACTGTCTGGTGCAGATTATTGATTGAAAAGAATGTATTTTCTTACCGTTGTGACCGTAATTTTTGACTGACTCTTTTTTTGGTGAGATCCGCAGTTGGACTCAACGATAAGAAAATGGCTGAAAATCCATTGAAAAATCACGGTCAGACAGGGGCTAAAATTCTTTGATTGATATGATTAAATATAAATATAAATAGATATATCTTTGTTCCAATAACAATGTAACTTTACTCAGAACATGTCCTGATTCTTCTATTGTTCAACTCATTACACATAGACCCAAAATTTTAAACAAGAAAATATCTAGTCCTCGTTTGAGCCACATGATTATGAAAATGAGAATGAAAAATATAGCTATTATGAATTCACACAAGAAATAAAAAATTAAATATGATGATTTGATATGATGTATAATGATCATATTTTTCATTTTAATGAGAAAAGAATGATGTTCAAACATGATCCTAATATTTAGATCATTTTAGATTAGATGGGTTCACTTGATTTTACCATTTTTCTTTTTCAAGTTATTCCTTTTTAAAGCTAAATATGCGGCTTGATAGTGGAGAAATTAATGGGTTATCATAAAACTACTTACTATAAGAAAAGTGAGTCTCCCGTATCTCAACCCTCTGGCCATTCGCGTTGATTTTTTGGTAAGATTGACACCCCTTGATCAATGGTTAAATTTAAGGAGTTTGTTGTTTTTGATTATATTTTTGTATTTTGTATATACTTATGGTTTTAATGGGTATATGAATGTTTGGATATTATTAAACAAGAACAATGGGTAGTAAGGATTTATGAGACTGGTGCTTGAATTGGGTATCCATTCATTTCTGTGGGTTCTTCCCCATTCTTTTTATATTTTTCCTCATTCAATTATTTGTGCATAAGGGAGTAATTATTTATCGAAAAATAAGCTTTTTGGATTTTCTTGAAGTTGATTGATATGCCCGTTGAAGAAGATTGAACCCCTTTCCACTCTCTTATTCTTCACATCTTAGCTGGTATTGCTTCAGAATTGTAGAAGACATGCTTGATCGAATATTATATTTATGGCAGAATTTATAATACTTGTGGATTTTGGATAGTGATTTCTTTCTTGCTATTTTCATTATGGACGAATCATCTTGTGCATTGTTGTCTATTAGTTTCTCTCATCATACCTCATTCTGCATTTGAACTAGACATAATTAAATTAGGTCAACTTTCTTGAAAACATATTTATAATTGCATATTAATTCTGTGACAGGATTAAGTTGCTGGCAATGTTGATGACATTTCTGTTTGACTGCAGTTGAATATTAGTTATGTCTGACAATAAGAAAGTGAAGAGAGAGATTACTTCATTATGACCTGTTTAAGCTGCTCCTTATGGCATTTACATTTATGTTTGGCTGTTGAACTTTAGTGCCTAAAATATCAAGGAAACGAAAAGATGGGAAAAATGGGCTTTCAATTTTCAGCAGTAGAGACATGAGAATACCTTGAATAATGAATAGAACTTATAAATTCTTTCACCCCTGCTTCAATGATCTTGAATCCTCAAACCTTATTTTACTCTAAATTAACATTAGGAAGCCCGAAGCTCCAATGATGATTTATTAAGATCCCTTTCATGATAAACGTCTGCTTCTGGTTCCTAAAAATTTTATTTTATTCCATTCTACAATGCTATACACTCTATAATCAGGGTTAAAGTATAATGAACAAATATACATAGTCCTACCGTTTGTGCCACATATGGTTCCAGAGGGGATCAAGCTTGATCCCAAATTTGGGGTACAGTATCCTTGTAAATTTTTTTAGAATGTCCTTCCTACTCTAAGACGCTCTTCTTTCTTCCTAGAAGACAATGTTTGTTCAGTTACAGTTGTGGGATCTGTCTAGTCCACTCTATCCACACCATTGTGAGATTCTTTATATCCTTTACATCATTTCAGTGCTGGCTTTACTTATAGAATGCTAGATCACTACTTTTTGACCTGATTGAAGTAGTGACATATAATTGCCATTACAGTCCAATTTGGTTTCAGTATTAAATTGTTGGATACAAGCAAATCTGTCTAAGAGGACCGAATTTAAATTGAGACCATTGTGACTCTTCTAGTCTTTTCTGGGAACTTGCCTAGTGGACTCTATTCACATATATATTCATCAAGGTAGGAGTGCAAAGCAAAACTATCAGTGTTAAATTTGATGTGAAGAATTTTGATTGGAAAGAATTTTGTGCTGTGGCAAGTGCAAGTCGAGAATCTGTTGATACAACACTAATCGAAGTGTTGCCTCGAAAAATATCTATTTGTAGTACATACACCCTTGCTCTGGAATTAGTCAAGTGATGTACAATTAGTAAAAAAATTTACGCGTGTTTGTGGTTTTGGTTTTGTTAAGCCACAATCATTATGGAAGGCTTGTGTTTTTTTCATTATTTTTTGATATTGATCTCTGGTTTATGCATTACTAACGTTAAATCTTTTATTATCTTGGAGGCATCTTGTTTCAGCGTTCTATGCTGTAGATCCTAATGGGGGTCAGAAAATTGTTGCAGAACCATAGCGATGTCCTGCCAGCCATATCTGCTGGAGATCAGCTCAGATAAATATGGATGATCTCCATATAGTATCTATTTCCCCTGTTAGTCCACTCAAGATTGATGAACAGAAGGCACATGGAGGGCCTATTGTGGGTAGCAATTGTTTGTTTAAATCAGTTAACACTAGTAGCTTTCCAAGATCTCATTTTCTACGGCAATCTTGCAAAAGTGGCTTTACAAACAAAACAAACAAGTGGAGATTGCGTTCTAATTCTTCATCTCAAAATCCATTCAACAGTGGTGCATCAGATGGGTCTGCTGAGGTATGCAAGGGAGATAAAGCTGCTGAAAGAAATTCAAATAAGAAAACTAGAAAGAGGGGAAAGCGGAATAAAAATCTCCTGGGCAGTAAAGGCTTAACTGAGTATGGATATGTATGTGGAAAATTGACGTCAGTCAGTGAAAATACGCATAGTTTTGGTCCGCCTGTATATAAAACTGAATTGGCAGTTTCTCCACCAGAACCTTGTTGTAATAGTAACAGTCATCAGCCCAAAAATATTGAAATAATAAATGGTCCAGCAAAAACAAAGGCATTGACATCCTATGAAAATCTGGTGGAGACATCAAAAGCTTCAAACCTGTCTTCATCTCAAAATTTTAGTCATGAATCTCATGCCTCTCATTGCAATGGACTCAAAATTTTCAGTGGAGAGAGACAATGTATGCATAATAAATCAATCAGCTCCTTAGATCATCCTTGTTATGCCAAGATGAATGACTCCCTTGTTTTGGATTTCTTGTCACTTGGTTTAGAGAGTGAAGAAAGTTGTCCTGAAAATTATTTCAGGCTCTGCGATGAAAAGAATGATGATGCTGACATTACAGAATTGCCTCATTACATTATCAGGAAACAGATTTCTCCTGAAGATATGCTAATTGGTAATACTGAACATTGTGATGATGCAGAGAACATAGACATAATTAGGAAGGATTCTAATTGTGAAAGAAATTTGCATAATCCAGGAATGAAAGAGAAGCATTTAAGAAAAGTTCCAAAGAACTTTAATATCTTCAGAAGATGCAGTTTCAGAAATTTAAAACAGCATTCTGGGAAAGAAAGCAGTAATTCTGTATGGCAGAAGGTTCAGAGAAATGAAGATGAATGCAGACCTAAGTTTGAAAAGGTAAACTCAGTGTGTTCAGAATTTTTTGATGAGACAGAAGAGGGTCCTGTATATAAAAAGGATAGTAATGTTGCTGAATGTTACATGCTCTTGAAACCTGAAAATAAAAATCAGACACAGCTCAAGACTTCTGGAAAGCTGAAAAGAAAAATGAGCCCAGGTTCAAAGAAAGAGTACATCTCTCACTGTTGGAAATCATTCCATGCTGTAAAGATTTCTTCAAATTTTTATTCAAAGACTAATATGCGACAGAATGAATTCTTGGATTCTGCTCAAATAAGCCAGAGAAAAGGTAATGGTGTTTCCAATGCACATTCGAGTAACTGGTGTCCTAGGATTGGACATCGTCCTGCGAAAGTTGATATCGGTACATTTAAACATATTCACCATACTGAAATGTCGTCAACTAATTTGGAGGCATGTGACCGAGTCTATATTGCTGTTTCTGATTTGACAGATCAACCTGCAGAAAATCAAGTGAACTTGCTATTCAATTCATGTGTCCCCCTTGGCCCGTCAGAGTTGCACAAGCAACTTTCTGGACTAAGCCTTCATATTCATGTGGATGATGAAAATGACAAGAGAGAGAAAGAAGTCCCTCTTGCAGTTGGTGGCAGGCAGGACGACGACTCTGCAGCTGTTTTAGAGGAAAGGAAATCTATTGGGGTTGGAGATGCTGACGTTCAAGGTGTAAGTTGCAATAGTTTGTCTATTGGAGAGCTTCGTGAGTTAGCTGATAAAAGCTTGAGTCCTGAAGTCATTGCAGAAGAGAGATTGGCTTCTAATCCTTACCCTCTGGTTTTTTCAGAAAATATTGGAGTAACATACAATGATCAGAGTTCTAACAACATTAATGATTTACCTTTTGGAGATGAACATCAGGTTCAGAAGTCAATGTATAAAAGCACATGCTTGCCTGCAGAGCGCAGTGGCAATCATGCTGGTGCAACATGCTGGATTCCTGAAATCAGAAGCCAAATTGTTTTTGATTCTGAAAATCAATCAAACGACATTGTTTCGTTAGTGAATGGTGTCATTGGTCACAACTAGCCTCTGAGGCTATTGAGATGGCTGCTGGTTGTCCGATTCTGAATTTGAAAGATTTCTTCACTCGGCCTCTCCTATTCTATGTCCATCTCATGATGTCTTCAGTGGTCAGACTTGCAAGGCCAAGCAGGTTGCTGGTATATCTGTGCATAGGGATGAGCCACTTAATCTCTCTTTGGGGAGCTTGTGGCAGTGGTATGAGAAGCCTGGTTGCTATGGTCTGGAAGTAATAGCTGAAGATTGTGAAAATTCAAAGAAATTAGGAATAGATCATTTTGAATTTCATGCCTATTTTGTCCCATCTTTATCTGCTGTGCAGCTTTTCAGAAGATACATGCCTTGTCCTACAGGAAAGAGCGACGTGATGACTGAAACTGTGACAGGCAAGCCACAAGAGATGAATGAAACTGTAAGATTTGCTGGTGCCACGCTTATTCCAATATATTCCATACTTGTACCTCAACATCACACTGAAAACAAACCCATTTTGCCACCACAAAATCATGTCTCTGACTCTCAGCCACCTTCATCGTGCAAAAAGGAAAATGAGATTAATCGACCTGTCGGATCAAATTTTGCTGATGATATAGAGCTTCTTTTTGAATATTTTGAATGTGAACAACCTCAACAAAGACGTCCACTGTTCGAAATGTATGTATAATACCATTCTTAGTATGTATGGTTGTGCATATTATTTTTTATGTTTGACATGGGAGATCCTGGCCCATTTTTCTGATCATATTTCCTTTGATTTTGATCATTCTGTTCTGAAAATTTTCATCATAATTCTGTCATATATGTCTATTTTGACTTACACTTCTACCATACACACTCAAACCTGAATTATATGACCCTTCTGGAATGGGTCGTAGCCCTCGTACCATTGTGTGATTCACATCAAACGAATCCTCTTTTAGGTTGGGTAGAGTCCACAAGGTAGATTTTGTTTTACATGATATCGGTCTTCTCAGAAAATTCCATGGTGCTGCCTCTCCTTGTGAGCTCATTTCTGCACCACAGCGACCTCCTCTAGGCCAGCTGCCACCATGCCATCCCCTTTTTTCACAATGGAGAGAAGTATCAAACTACAAAATATGTGATAATTGGCATGGCAGAAGGCTTGGATGCATTTGATGCCAGTGGCATGAAAAAGATCAGTGGTGGTCAATGAAGTAGGATTGATGTGCCTCCTCCTTCACCTACCTCTGTCAACCTCTCTCTTTGGAGTAACTGTATTGACATTTAAATCAGTAGTTGTGCTTGCTAAAGCAATAAGTGAAAGTGGTGATTCTTCCCCAACTTCTCAAAGTAGATGTAAGAGGCAAGAATAGTTGTGTGATCCACGTGTTGCAATGAGTTGACTTGCAGTCAGTATATTTTTTTATTGAAGTGTGTAGAAAGACAAGGTTGAGATAAACAAATATAGGTTTGACAGTAGGCACACAATGGTGGGGGAAGGGTTGAAGTTTCCTTCATGTGTTTGAAAACTTTGTGGGATATGGATGGAGTTCAAGCATAAGCCTCGGGATTGTAATGTAATCTAAAAATCAATCCATTAACTAAATGTAAATTTATTTTTACCTTACCTCTTCTTTATATTTGTCATTTAATCTTACGGCAGACTTTATATTGTACTGACATACGTTTTTTTATTTGTATCTAAATGACCAAAATCTACACAAATACTTTGATATGGCTGGCATTCACTGATTTCACTAGTAGAGAACTGCATAAGCACAGAGTTGCATTTCCTTGACAGAGCTATTTAATTAAATGCCTTGTATATACGTGTTATGTTTGCATTTGTATATCAGAAAATGAGGCAGGATGAACAGTTCACGAGCATTTTTGAAGTCTTTGGAAATCTGTGTGGCTTAAACAGATAAATACTTCTACATAATTCATTGATCTAAGGTCAACATACATAAAACTGGTTTCACAAACAATCTGTGGATTTAAATTATTTTCTGATTCTTGTGTTTCAGGATAAAGGAGCTTGTTAGAGGTGAAGGACATTCAAAATGCAGAGCACGTGGAGATCCCACTGTTCTAGAGCAGGTGGGTCTACAGGATCTTCACCAAAGTTCATGGTCAGTAAATGTAGAGACTAATCCAGAATAATAAGTTATGCAACCTTGTAAAGTTAGTTTGATATGAACATGTATTGTTGTTGAGCATTGACAGTCTATTTTCAGGTATTCAGTTGCATGGTATCCCATTTATAGAATACCTGATGGCTCTCTTCGTGCAGCTTTCTTGACTTACCATTCACTTGGCCATTTGGTACGCAAAGACCCCATACATGATTCGTCGGTGGATACTTGTATAGTTTCTCTGGTTGTGGGCCTCCAGAGCTACAATGCTCAGGTAGATATATTCTGCTACAAATTCTTCTTCAAGTTCCCAAAGACCTGTGTCATGCATCCTCTGCTAGAGGAGCTCTTAACTGCTCTGTGTTATTGCTTAGGATCTATTCCGCGTGTCTTTATACAACTAGTACTGTAAAATGCAAGTGTTGAGCCCTGATTTTCCATAGGGCAGTGAGGATTAATCAACTGAAAATGTAATGTTAGTTTGGAGGTCTCCTTGAACTTCCATAAAATCTATTTAATGTGGAAAATAAATATTACTTCAAAATTTAAGAGAGACCGCATGAGTTCTATAATATTATTGCTGAATGATTAAACAAAATGAGTATTGTCATTATGCAACTAACAACTATACAATTAGATGGATGAAATAATATTTGAGATAACTCTAGGTTGTTGTGACCCCAGAAAGATTAAGGCAACAAATAACCTAATTCTAGATTGCCTCTGCAAAAAGATTGTGGCCAACAAGAAACCCAATTCTAGCAGTTAGCTTCACTAGAAGATCAAGACATTCTTGCCCATGAATGGCATTGACAGAATTTTACTTTGGTGGAATACGATCAAAACCAAAAAGAATATCATGAATGATGCAAAAGTATAGTTATTTTTTCAATAATTACATCCATCTATCCTGTGACTGCATCAAATTGTAATGTTAAATGACCACAAACGAATGTAACATTAATTTGTTTATGATAATCTGTTGCAAATTTGAACAATTATGGCAAAAGAGGAAAATTAATTGTCCAAATTTATTGGGATTAAGACTTAGTTTTACTGTGTGTGGCAAAAACAAGAAAGATGTAGCCTCTCTTCCTCTCGATTAGTTGGAAACTTCCTGGAATTGGAGTCTTTTATTGCATGGGAGAAACACTCTTTTACTGCAATTACAGCATTGCTGCATTTTTACTGCACTTGACCATTCTCTTTTACGTTCAAAATGAACACTGAACCTGGTTTATTAATATGTACTTAATAAAGGCACACTTCTATTAGTATTGAACTTGATAATTTTCTCTGTTCTATCTATGGAACTGAAGTACTATCCATGAACTTCATCATTAATCTTTGAATATATTTTGCTTCCAATCCAGTCTCTCTTGTCATTGTATATCAATGGCAAATGAGCAGGGTGAATGCTGGTTCCGGCCTAGACTCCCTGAAAAAATTCTGGCAGCCAACACTCCGGGAATTTTGAAAGAGCGATTGAGGACTCTCGAGCAGATGGCATCTCATATGGCTCGTGCTGTCATTATGAGAGGAAGTCAGGCATTTGTAAACAGACAGCCTGATTACGAGTTCTTTCTGTCTAGGAGAATCTAGTAATTTCGTGTATGTACTTATTTTTGATTTCTCATGTAGACCTAGCTAGTGCTAAGGCTTATTTAGTGTTGTATAACAATTGGTAAACTGAAGTTTTATCTCTGCAGCATATTTCCGTGTTTGCAGATAGATTATTTCAAAGTCAATATGCACTTATATTGCAAGTTTTGAAGGATGCAATGTGAGGAGGAAATCGTGTGAGCATGTTTGCCTTTGCTTCTTTTATCGTTTGCTATTTTGTCCAGATTGACAGAAAAAATGTGTATAGTTACACCCTTCTTGATGTCGAAATAAGCAAGGTGTTCTATTTTTGTAGCTTTGCAGTTAAACCAAACAAGTTTTACAGATATTTTCTTGAACAGTCATAGAACATGCATATGAGATACTAATTAATTGAAAAAATGATTTTTCTTGTAAAGTAGGACCCAACAAACTGGAAGACTTGGTAAGGTTCTAGTCTTCGAATTATTATCCATCCCAAAATTTTTGTTATATTTTTCTATGAATCCATATTCTTCCACGATTTTGGGCCGTCTATTATTATAAGCGTGTTTGTCCAGTTGAAATGCTATGTAATAGTTAAAAACTTGCTTCTTTGGATAATAAGGGTGCGTTTGATTGCAAGTAGTAAAATTGCATGGAAAGAAAATATTTTTCAGGTAATTCAATTGTCTGGAAATTATTTACATGAAAAATGTTAATTACACGTGTTTGATTGACTTAAATTTCAACATAGAAAATGTTGCAATTTTTTCAACTTTTGGTGTTTGATAGCTATTATTTTTCATGGAAATAATCATTTTTTCCAATTTTGTCTGTTTGACAACCACTATTTTCCATGGAAAATAGTGGTTTTTTCCCATGAAAATTTGTCAATGAGTTATCCAAATTTTAAACAAATTTTAGACATGAATGCGGCCAAATCCTAATAAATCATAATTAATATAGCAGTTAATTTGTGGATAAAAACATGCCAAGATTTGGTACGAAAGATGTAGAAACACGGTCGAGATGAAATAATTATCCCTAACAATTAAGATTTCTACCACTTACATATTCGTCTTTGCAGTCAAAAATAATAATCAGATAATCAATTCAATAAATAATGATGAAATTTCGTCCAATGTATTACATAAAACAAAAATGAAAAAACCCAAAAAATCTGTATCATAAGAAAATAGCAAATAAAATCAACATAGATATCATACTTTCACATGTTTGTTAAATTATCCAAGCAAGTCATCTTAAAATAGTGGAGGCGGATCACGGCCCAGATTCTCAAATACTAAATCACGCATGAATTCTTCATCAGTCAAACTCATAAATACTCTAACCAGACTCTCATCCGATCGAAATATTTTCATTACTTGCATTATGTCACGCTTTTCTATACGTATGCCTTGTAATTTTTCTAGAACCAATTGCCAATTGATGTGGTTTAGTGTATCTAATGTTGCTTGAGTCTCCATAGCGATAGCAATTTTTTTAGATGATTCGGCAATGCTTGATAGGGCAACGAGACTCTCATCATTAGGTTGGGTACGTCGACGGCGAACTTTGTTAGTTCCTCCTTCGGCATTACGCTTAGGAGCGCAAATGGGGCTTGGATCCGTATCCTCATTTTGACCATCAACTTCATGCACAGTTTCATCTAAAAAAATAATAAAATAAGAAATTGTTAGAATTTCTAATATAATACGAATTATATAAATTTTTATGTCTGATCTAGTACGTACCATGATCGAGGGATAAAATGTCATTGCCGGTTACAGCACGATCTCCTGTAGCAGAATCATTTCCAAAAATAGCCTCCAAATCATCATAACGAGAACAAAGTTTGGTCCTCCACTTTCCAAATTCTGGTTTGCCCTACAAGAAAAAAAGTGAAATATGTTTTACGCGAGTTAGGGGGCAAAATAAATTATATTAGTAATATTTAAGGAATAATACTTTCATTGGTCAATGAAATTTTGTACCTCAACAACTCCTCCCAAGCTAGTACATCGGCTGTGACACGTCCAGTGTGAGGATCTATCCCAAAACCACTCATGCTTAACAACTGACGAACTTCAACATATTCTTTTTCAGAGTTTCCAATCGCGCCCTCACATTCTTATCAGACACCATCACTCCGCATCCATTGTGCACGCTCTCGATTGCTTTGGACACGTGATATGATGAAAAGCCATTGTCACTTCTTTTGTGACTAGACAACACTTGATGTAGTAGTGCAGTTATCATACAACCGTCCATTGCATCACTCCAACGTATTTGACGATTCCTAGAATTAGGATCCGCTTGGGTTGAGCTTATTTCCTCCACACCTAAATGAAGGGTTGGTCTAGGAACTCGAAAAGGTGCCGCAGAGCTTTGTCGAATATTTTCCATGAATTGTATAGTGCAAGATAAACTGTTTACGGTCAACCAATAAATAAGAACATTTAAGGAAATTGCATGTCAACAATGTCTCCAATAACAACAATTCCAATTACAATATTTAAAATTCTAGCAATCTTATGTTAACTATTACATGACATGGGAAAAAAAAAACAAAAATCTGCTTAATGTCAATACGTCTTCAATTCAAGCAATTACTACATATGAAAGTCTAGTAAGTTTATATCCATTACATAGAAAAAAAACAAGATTTCAATCGAAATCAATTCTCGCATTTTGATTGGGAAGATAATCAGCCCACATTAAATCAGCAATCGCATTTCTCTTATTAGACCACACTTCCTGATTTGTGAAAGATATGTGAGCATTTGGAGTTTCATCTTCAGGTACATCAACATGCGTAGGGTTAACCTCATCATCACTACTATCTAAGTCGTCCTCCTCACAAACATCTTCAACGTCATCAATCCTTAAGAAGTTGCGGATGGCAGATGAGGCAAGGACTATCTTTGCTTGTGTGTCAATGTCGTGATAGGGTTGATGTCTCAAATATGCAAATCTTTTTTTAGCAACCCAATTGTACGCTCAATAACATTACGTAGAGATGAATGTCGAAAATTGAACAACTCCTTACTACTTTCAGGACGTTGACCTTCAATGTCTCTACGATGATAACAAGTCCTACGGTATGGTGCAAGAAAACCCGAAACCGATGGGAAGCCAGCGTCAACAAGGTAATATTTACCTAGGAAAGAGTCGTTCATATGATGGTAGTTAGGTAATTATTATAACTTATGTGTGTAAGAAATGTTTTCAAAATAGTGACACAACTTACCAATAGGAATTGTTAGCTTATGTCCTTGGCGTAATATTGCACTCCATAACAATTGACCATCATGTGCAGATCTCTCCCAACCGGCAAGCACGTACATAAATTTCACATCAAATGTGCAAACTACTAAAACATTTTGGGAAATCACTTGCTTTCTATTGCGATATTTACCTTGCTCCTCTAAAGGCACATACGCAGCTATATGTGTACCATCGATTGCTCCTACGACATCCTTTAAAAAACAATACTTTTCAAAATAAATGTGAATATTGAAGTTTTAAGAAATATGATGAAATATCTACAAATCACTAACCTGAAAAAAGGAGTACCATGGCTGAACATTTTTTTTTCGTATGGTGAGTTATGAGGAGTGGCATTAATCACAACATTTATATACAAT